GCATTCCTGGATTTCTTAGAGAGAGTGGGGGAAGGGAAAGAAGTGGGAGGGAATAATGAGGGAGGTTAGAAAAGAAAATTATGTCTACATACATCTGAAAAAAAAAAAAAACACCAAACACACAACCTTACAAAAAAACAACCCCCCACACCCAAAACAACCCATAACCCACACTTTATTTTCAAAGACTAAACTGCTTGCTGCACACAGGACAAACTCACAGGGACCCAGAGCTGGGTCTTTAGTTTTCTTTCAGTTGTGGAAATCAAGCCTCCATTTCTACAATAACTGGAGATTCTTCAAACCCAGATATTTGTAAAGGTCAAAACACCTGCAATCCTTGCTTCTCCAAGCACATGCTAATGTAAACAGAGAGGCTGCGAGCCTGGCGAAGCACAGTCAGGATTACCACTATTTAACAGTCTGTGAAAATGAATCCTTCTCTTCAGGCAAAGTTGTGAATGCATTTCATATGCCCTAGGCTACTGGGAATAAACCAAGACCAGTATTTATAAAGAGCGAACACTCACGTTTTTGCCGTCTCCTCCACGGACAACTAGGCTCCTATTTCTGTAGCTTGGAAGAGGAGGAGTGGAAAGCAGCAAAACCCAGAAATTAAGTCAGTGCATTTGGCCACGTATCACATAGGTTAGATTACTGAAGGATACTAGGAGTTTAAATGACTTTGGTTATAATTTTCTTGCTTTAATCTTTTTACGCATTAAGCACAAACAAGTAATTTCAACATTCCTTGCTAGTTTGGACTGAACATCTACAGTAATACAAATATTTTACCATTTCCTGCCCTTCACTAAATGTTATGAAAATGGTGACAAAAAACCTTAATCATCCAGCAACAACCCACTAGTTTAAAAGGTACTAAAACCTACTTAGACCTAAGGGCCTGCAGCACCATGAATTGCTACACGTTTAAAAAACAAACTGAAGTTAAAACTGAACTCCACATTCTGCAACACTAAATGAACGTTTTACTACATGGTTTCTTTTGAGGTGGCAAGAAATGACTGTAAAACCTTTGCTGTTGCCAGAATTACAATCCTTGGAGAAAAACATCCTGTGGGTTACCATTTGTTGCCATGATTTACAAAGATAAGGTCTATAGTCTGTATCAGTCTCATGCTGAAGCTTTAAAGGAAAAAAGCTTTCTGCAGAGTTTGTAGATTTCTGCATTAGTGTCTGTGTTGTTGCAAAGAGGGCTAAGTGATGCTCCCTCACAAGCTGTTCAAGAAAGTTAGCACATTTCTTCAGATTCATCTCCTGCAAGTTAAGACTCTCCCCTCCATTGCTTCTGTCTATCCAATAAAAAGCCGATATGCTATCTAAAATCAACAGGCAGAGAGAGGGGTGACTGCAAAACGTGTTTTCTAAAGAGTAGAGAGTAAGGAGTAACTGAGTGCTGCTATTGCAGTTCACAAGAAAAAGCCTTCCCAGGCATTGCTTTATCATTTCTTCCGTCCTTTGCGCCAGTCTGTTCTCAAGAATGGTAACTAGACGAAGCATATCAAAATGGTAGTCTGTGTCAATGAACATGACTTCTACTTCTAGTCCTCCTTCTGATTTTGGAATGATGCAGCGGGCTATTAGGTGATAAAGCATTTCTGTTTTCCCTGTTCCTTCCGGACCATGGAATTCAATGACATCTCCTGTTCAAAAACAAAGCAGCAAGTGGTCAGATAAGAGCATTTATAACTCAGAGTCAGTTTTCAGTGTTTACTGAACTAATCCTCACTATTCCACTAAATGAAAAATCCTTTTTTGAAAGTTTGAGATCCATAAATTGTTTAAATGCCAGTTAGCATCTACCAAATGAAATTTCAATTTTCAAGAAAGGCCTCTGAAGTGAAGAAAATCAACCTGGAAGAAAGGTTGAAAAAGACCCCTGCCAATAACATCTACGATACTGCTATCAATAAAAGGTTGGCAACTGGATTTCATCTATCATTACAGGTGAAGGCTGAAAAAGAAGCTGCTACACAAAAGTGGCTAAGAAACCACCTATTTACACTACGTGCACAAAATTAAGAAATAAAAAAGTAGAGGACAAGCAAAACAAAAAAAGTTAACATATTAGAGGTCCAAATTATGTTGGCACATCTACTTCTATAGCACAGACGGTCTTTCAGCACTTCATGTCTGCTATATACTTGTTCAATATCTGCATGTGTCACAAGATACCAACAGGCATCTGTGACCGGTAAAGAGAATGCCAGCATATTTATTTAGCACTTATATTCTTCTGTGGTGATCATAATATGAAACTGCTTCTTTCGACAAGGGGGACTCGCAGATTCCTTCAGCTCCAGGCACTGACTCTACTGTCTGAAGCAAAGGATCTCTGTTCATTAATGAACTCAGCCAAACTGCCTGATCCATGTGGGTCAATACTTATCACACAAATTTAAAATGGTAATTAAAAAAAAGCATTACACTTTACTAGGAAAGCAGTTCTTTTGGTGGATGTGAATGCAAGATACTCTCAAGTCTTTCCCAAAGTTTTTCTATGTCTTACATCAGGGCAAGACTCTCAGAAAAGTCAATTTATTAGTTGCTCTTCATACATTTCTAATTTAGGAAATGGGATCATTTATTTATGACACTTTGGATTTTAGGCAGAAGAGTAAAGACATGCAGTAAGGAGAATCACACAACTGTATTTGCAGGAAGGTGAGAGATTTCTCTGGCTTTGGCAAGTGCAAATGGTATAACAGATTTTCATAGGGGGGATGCAAGAGTAGAGAATTAATTGCAACTTTACTTGAACATGTTTGTGCCTGCCTGAGTTAACAGGGTTTTTTCAAGTCATTATTCAACTTCCAGAGGACATCTTTGTTCATAAGTGCGTGTAATGTCAAGATGCAGCATGGGATGAGCAGCGGAGGGTGGTGGGGAAGAAACTAAGCTCTTACTTTAACCAATGCAAGCGTTGAGAGCAATTTACACCTGATGTGACAATCCTATCCATTTCAGCAACACTCGAACTGCCCGCCTCTCCACAATGAAATTCCCTGCTGCTCCACAACTGCAATTCTGTTTTTATGAATTTCTGATACTTTGAAATTTATTTAAAAGCTTGATTGCCACCCAAACCCTTGCTTATTTGTTCTGAATGGCTCTCCCCAATTTTGAGATGAAAAACTACACTTCCTATGACACGAACCTTCATTTTCTCTTCCTGTTCATATGTCACAACGTCCAACTCTGCCACTTGCAGCCAGCAGCTGCTCTGCTGTCACATACACAGTGCCAGTGACGTAACTGTACTCTGTTAGGATAAGATACCAGCTTGGAAGAACTGCTCCTAAACACACTGGGTAGGTCATTCCCTCATACTTCAAGTCTACTGAAGTATTTTAGAACAATTGCGTTAAGGCGCCTCTCGTTAAGGAATAAAGTGTATCTTCTGTCTGCCATTGGCTTCGGCACAAGGCGTCTGCCACCCTGACTGGCATTTCTGAATCCAGACCAATAGCTGAAGTGGACCAATATGCAATACAGATTGCTTCACCTACCTTTACAGCAACATATGACTAGTTTAAGAAAAAAACAGCAACTCTGTACGGCCACTTAGAAGCAGCAGTGGGCAAATCTGATGTAGTGTTTGGTAATGACTCAAAAAAATTGAAATAAATGCTTGAGTTTATCCATTTGAAAAAGTTCTGTCAGGATGTCTGTGTGTTACCTCCTATAAAACTTTACATCAGGGAGCAGTAATGCACAGAATGATGTTGGATGAGCTTTTATTGGCAGAACTGCCGAATTTATTTAAGTAAAAATTAAGTTGAATGAAAAAATCATTCTTAGGACTTCTTGTGGTGGTGGTGGTTTATACATTTCAACAGCAAGAGAGCTGAGCACCCTTCAAAACTTGTTCAATATTGCTGAACAAGATACACATCCAGGTTGTTGTTTGACCAAAACACTTACGTTACTCTGAAAAGAGTAACAGCTTGGACTGTAAGAAAACCTCAAGAGAGCTGGGGATTTCTGTGCCTTCATGATTATCAAAGAGGCTGCCCACAAGAAGAACGGGTGCAAAACAGAAGCCATTTATAGCAACATCTATAGATGTATGGTTTCATTAAATAGCAACCAGGCTGTTTGAGTAAGATAAGAGGGGAAATTCATCCTTCAGGATCAGAGTGGACAAACCATGACACAGCAGAGGAAGAAGCTTGACCAGCAACGTTTTCAAGAAGCCTTTGACACCCTCAAAATAGGTCATGGAAGAAATTTAGTGATCAGTACTAGCATCACCCATTAATGTCAAAGTACTTTGAAAGGAGGATTAGTAAAGAGATACTGTTATGTGATGGAAACAGTCTGAGAGGCAGAGCAGGAACAGACTTTAACACGGAAGAGAGTTAAATGGGAAACTTTCCTGTTACAATTGGTGTTGCCCAATGTTAAAAATAGCAGTAGATGAATGTTCCATTAGCTTGGCAGAATGTGTAGAAGACAAACTAATTGGGTTAATAAAGACTTAAGACTATGAAGATCTAACAGGCCAAGATGGATGAGCAGAACCATTTCATATGAAATTCAGCACTGACAAATTCAAGAAGTACGTTTTAAGGAGTAACCCAACACACTGCTTGGCTCACAACAGCTTGAACTGGCCCACTACGGTCAGACTAAGGAGTACAATAGTCCACTGCTATGCAATGGCATACAGGATAAACCTAAATGGTGTTGCATAAACTTAAGTATTTATGTAACACTAATATATTTTTAACTGAAACATAGTGCTCAGCCCTGGTCATCAATTCAGTGTTACCTTTTGAATGAGAAGAGCCTTCAGTTTTGTCTGTAATCATTACACTAGCAAATGTTGGTTAAACTATTTCTGACGCTGCAGTTATACACCAGCTATTAGAATACTCTATTAGAATACTCAGCAATAGCTCTGCAGGTTTCACATCAGATAGCTTGAAGTTACTGGACTAGTAATTTACAAAACTGTGCAGAAGCTGTCACCAATATTTGTACCATTTATAAGTGAAGTAAAAAGGCCTAATATTTATTCCAAGTTATTGCTCGGTGTCATACTATTGCTGAACATCAGAGCTTTATACTGACACCCAGACCTCCATACCAGTGGCACAGGAGAAATATGACTGGCAGCAGTAGAAGATTATTTAAAGCTCGCGTCACTTTTGCTCCAGTCCAGAAGAGCTTAAATGGTATGTAATTAATATGCTTATGTCTTCTTAAATATACAAGTCCATCATAATTAAAAGCAGTGACTAGAATATAACAGCAGTACCTATATTGTTTGTTCCTATTCAGTATATTCTGACATACATGTTACGAACACTTAACTACGGTGTAACCTTTGGATGGTTTAAAGAAACTTCATATATATGTTTGTTTGTTTCAAATACCATCAGGGAAAAAAATAATTTAGGTCTTTGCATTGCTTTAATCATACCATTTTAGATGAAGAGCTGTTCAGTACAGACTTCATGGGCAATGTATTACGGTATTCCACAGTGACCTACTAAAAGTCAAGTTCATGACAAATGGAGAGGTAGGTCTTCAATAGGGATTTAAGGCTGAATAATGAGAACACACATCAAAACAACACATGGACTCACGTGACTACTGTGGTATTAAAAGACAAGGCAAAAATGTAATAAAAGGTGAAGTCCCTTTATGTATATAAAGCTAAAGATCTGTGCTGATATGTTATGCAACTTCACTAATGTCAGCCAAAAAGCCTGACCAACACAGATAATAATTGATGCCATTTGTTAAAAGCAGAAGAAAAACAGAAGTGCTTCTGAAGCTCAATGACTTTGTTGGCACAGAGAAACCAGTGACAAATTTAGAAGGTTTCCAGCCATCTCAGAACTGAGGTTCTGGAACTGTCTTTGGACAGACATGAACAACCTAACATAGCTTTAAGATCAAAGCTGATAACTTGATGAATGGAATTATATAACACTGTGGACTGTGACAGCAAGGGCAATTACTGACGCCCAGGAAGGCTTCTTATAGTCTGTTCTACCAGCACATGGCCAGCTTAGTCTCAAACATTTGTTTCTTGTGTGTAAAGTTCATTTAAAAACAAACAAACAAACAAACTGAATGATCAGCATCTTCTATTACTGCATGTTTTCAAAACTAAAATATCTCATCTTTTAAAAAAAACTGTTAAAACTTCAGGAGCCTTATGAAGCACATACCCATTTCACTACTGGTTCTTAATTTTTCTGGTGGGTAACAAAGCAGTTCAGAATTGAGAGTATTTAACTAATCTTCCCTGCTCCATTTGCACTGGCTTACCAGTATTTCTCTGCCCTTTATCTTTGTTATATCATATTTGAAACTTGCAGGGGCAGGAATCATATATTGCTAAACCCCCAATGTATTCTCAGGTGCTGCAAAATAATACACAAATAGTCTCATGGTGACTGCATTTGTAGATTAAGCCTCATCTCTTATCCAGTTATCCTGGTTCTTATTGCTTTTTCTGCTATTTCGTCTGAACCTTTCATAATTTGTGGGTATTCAAACTGCAGACAACTACGGTGATAACCACTGCAGCCACATACTTTTCAAATGAAATCTGTTCATTCATACATACATTCAACAACTGCAGTCCCTCACAGCATGAGCCTTACAGTTTGCCATTCGTATACCTTTTTTACTTTATATTTCTAGTTTTGAGTAACCAGAACAGTCTCTTCCATTATGAAATCCATGAAATTTCACACAATCTGGAAAGCCAGTCAGACTTCCTGAATAATCAAGGAATTACTAAGTGTGCTAATTTCTGTTTAGCTCAGTAATTTCTTTCACTAAAACATCCAATCTTGATCTTAAAACTTCTTGCTAGAAAAATCTACCTTAAACTTGTTGTACCGGTGTCACTAGGAGGTAGCCCAATTTCTCCAAATTGAAGTTCTCATTTATTCACTGCAGGTCTACATAAGCCGTTTTGATCCTAACATCATCCGCAAACTCATTCAGCTGATTAGTACCCATGTTCATAATGGATTTGTTTCCAAAGTTCCATCATCTAAGTATCATCAGGAGTTTTCAGGCCAAAACTGAATGGCTTGATGACTTGGCTTTATTAAAACACACAGTTTGCTCGTGCCCCTTTTCCTAACTTATCCAGACCACTCCGTGGTGATCATCTGGATGAGTGAACTCTGCTATTTATTGAACCTTGAGTTCTTTGCAAATTTCTGCAGTCACAGCTTTGTGGTGCTTTTTTAGCCCACTGACTTAAAAAAAGGATAAATGACAGAATCTAGAACAAATTTATGTAAAACTACTAGAAACAGATGAACGTGTTTGGTATTTACTCACCTACAGCTGTGTTTTGATACCCATAAAGTAGATATTTTAAAGTCCATTTAATAATGGTCGAATGGTGACTTTGCATTATTTAATTCTATCTAGTTTGCCTAAAACTACATGAACAATTGGAATTCTGAATCCAGGGCAAAAAGATCTACTTGTACGCTTATGTCTATCATATTGCTTTGAGAATACTTTGACATCAAGATTTTTCCACAAATGGGATAAAGATACATTTTTACCATGAACAGGAGATCCTTCCTCAGCAAACAGGTAAGGTTCAAGATCCTTCAGAGAACTTCTGCCCTCAAGGCGTGCAAGTAGCTTTTAAAGAAAAGACAGAAGAGATATGCTGTTAACTCAAAATAATGGACCTTGGGAATCAAATTTAAAGGATTCTGAGAACTGGAAGTTTTCCAGGACAGCCCTATAAGAAGATTAGTTTGATTTTAAAAATGTTTTCATAAATACATATGGAAATCTATAGTCTGGACTATAGCAACAGAAGGTTCCATCCTTACAATTAGCACACAGATTCAATGGCAATAAGGAGTGGATATACATTAGGGGAAATAAAGCTATTAAAAAAAAAAGGAAAAGAAAAAGCTGCACAGGTAGACTAGCAAGAAGGATTGCCTCTGGTATATAGCAGTGCTGCCACGTGACAGAACAAAGGGAAAGAACATCACTTGTAATAACCATCACGTCCACAACGAACTACTGGTTGAGAGGTGAACCATTACCCATCATTAGTCTCCTCAGTCAGTCTCTCTGCACATCTAGAAGTAAAAACATGTATGTTTAATCTGAAAAGTTATACAGGACTCTCCTGGACTACAATCCTATTATATGATAGTTATTTGTTCAAATGTACTATGGATTAAGAATGATCAAAAGTAATTAGCCACCACTGGCTCTTCAAGAACCTTTCAAAAGCAAGCTTGAATTTGTAAAGCAAGTCCATTGTAAAATAAATTAGTACAAAGTTCATGGACAATTTCTTAAATTGACAGGCATTTGCATAGCAAGTAGACAAGTACTCACATAACTTGTGTTATTTGTAGTTCTGGAATACATTCCTGAACTAAGAATTAACATTTCACCCAGTGCTAGAGCTGTTACTCCCTATGTGTATTAACACACGTGGGGAAGGACACTATCAGGATGCTCAGAGCACTGACAAAGCACGTACGCTGCTGCCAAATATTTCATTCTCCAAGACACCCAGCTGTCTTTTAAAGATTTAAACAAAACAAATCCCATTCAGTTTTATCCCGTCCTCCTGAAAGCCAGTCACCAAACGAGCACTGAGCACAAACCCTTAAACACACGCTGTCTTATCTTGCTTTCCTCCCTGCTACATCGATGATCAACATTTGCTCTGAATTCTTAAAAGTTGTTTAAACAGTTGTGTGTGGGTTTGCCTTTAATAGTAGAATAGAACTCCATTAAAAGGCCCTGAATTTACTTCAAGTGGTCACGATGGAAATCTAAGTGTGACATTTTCATTGACATTTTAACATTCCCTTCCATTAACAAAATGTCAACGTGTTTGCCTTTGTTTGCCTGTTCACACGTATTCAGGCGGGTTTTCCGACACGTCCACTGAAGGGCCCTAAAAACACTTGAATTGACCTTGCTCTGGATCTGCGGATCCTCCCGTTACGTTACACACATTTGTGCGGTGCAGAAAACACTCACACGGTGAGCTCTTGAGTAGTTCGGGAACCAGTAGGGTCCTGTGACAGGGCCAAAGAAAAAATCCAGATGGACTTAACGTACACAAGAATATAGGAACATATCTTGGGGCACATAAATCAGGAGCTTGCAACTACCATGAGGGCGATGGGCAAGATGCTCCTGTGCCAGAGGCCGCCTGCGCCTGGCCCCCAGCACCAGCCCAGGGCCACTGGGGAGGAGGAGGATTCCCGGAGAAGGGCCGGGAATATCTCACCCCCTCACCCGGCTGTGGAAGTTGAAACAGGAAAACCACCACAAGCTGGTGCTTTCTGATGCACCTCACTTCTTAGCAAAGGAAGCATTGTGCCAGCACTCTGTGATCACGGGGGCTCGATTATGGGCGCTGCTGGGGCTGAGAGCCACAACTATTGCTGGTTTCAACACACTTCTGCAGCCTCCTGCTCCCAAATTTCCTTCTACATTAATTAATACATCCTCTGCAGTTAGTTTTTGCTGGAAACAATGACCCCCTGTCTCTTCTTAGACTATCACTTCTTTAAGCTTACTGCTACAGCTTTGGAAATACCCCATAGATTGATCGCTATCGTTTAACTATGAATCTGCAGTTATTTAAATGATGAGTTTATATATTCATTTTAAATAACTACAGGTGCTTACTCCGAGCACTGCTCATGTAGGCAATTTATGATAATTTGCTGATGATAGCGCACCTGTGTTTTTATCAAACTTGTATTTACTTCCGAATTCTGAAGCAGATTCTCCAAAGGCACTTGCCTCATTAGCGTCACGCTGGGAGCAACGGGGTTCCTGGCAGAACAGCTAACAATTTTTCTTCAAGTCTAACAAAGGTTTGTCCACACTGCAGCAGGAGTGACAGAAGCAAAGCTGAGATGAGACACTAGACAGGCATCCCACACCTCTGCCGACATTAAAGACAGGGACAACACGGGTTTTTCCCTTGGCTCTGTGCCAGGGGAGCCATTTCCATTCTGCCTTCACACATTTTCTGCTGCAAACCGAGGAGGAGGGCGACAGCAATCTATAGCATTGACAGGGTAACCTGGATGGTGGCCATCAGGCGTCCCAAGCTTTGTCACAGACAGCGGGGCAGGGAGGAAAGCAAGATAAGACAGTCTGTGTTTAAGGGTTTGTGCTGTCACACTGCAGCACAGCACTGCTGAAGAGAGCCTTTGAGTGGGAAGAGTTTGGAAAAAACCGCACTAAAACAATTTCAAATCATGTACTGGAGACTTCAGATTCTATAATTTAACTGTAGAGGCTTGTTTCTTCTTTCCCAATGCTCTTTTTATCTTCTTTTACACAAAAAACCCCCACCTTTTAGCAACCTGCTAGTGGTAGGTATTCGCTCTTGGGTGTTCTTCAAAAGTCTAATTATACTAGCAAGAAACTGCACATATGTGCAGTTACATGCAGAAAACAACCTATAAAACAAGAGTTAGGCAACTGTTGGGTTAAATGTCATTAATGACAAGGCTGATGGAACTCAAGTATTTCAACTATGTCTTTTATAATTTATCAATTTCATCTTTTTAATAAAGAAAAATGCATATAGACAGTCCCACTGACTAATACATTATATGCTTATACTATATTGGTTTCAATAAAGCTATGCATAAATGTAAGCATACATGTAGGTCTTGTCAGGAATGAGATATTACTTCATTAAAATGTTAAAGAAATTCAAATTAAATACTCCAGCTCTGGTAGAGGCTGTGAGCTAACCTACAGGCTATTTACAAATACAAACCTATCTTGAGTATGAGACAAAATTTAATTTTCAACCACTATAACCACTCTGATTGAGCTCTTGTAAACTTCGGGCATGAAGACATATGCAAACAATTTATCCTTTATTTTATTGTGATATACCAAAGATGTTTTGTGAGAAGTTCTAATTTGTTGTATTAATTATATTCAATAATAAAGAGTACAAGACTGCGGTCTCAGTATAACCCTCACTAAAATCTGATCTTATGCATGAAGCTATTTGAGGAAGTATTGTTTTAAATCAAGTATTTTCTGTTTCAAAGGCTTTTATCATTTTTTTCATAGACAACGTTGTCATACGTTAACCTTTCTTAACCCATTGGTGATCAATTCCACCTTCATTCAGGCTTGGCTAGCTGTTCCATCACAGGCAGTTGCTGCCATGTGCGTTCCCTGCTGGCACGGCTTACGTGGACAGAGAAATCCATGTAGCCGCCTGGACACAGAGCACAACTCATGCCCTTAATTTGTGTATATTTGCTTATAGTGGGCAGCTGTTACTATTTTAAGTGTTAAAAGGGCTTAAAAACTGAAGTCCCACTGAAACAACATGGAGCTTTAATAAGAAATAAATATTACCACACGTTTCAGTGCTTTTAAGTCCACTATCCAGGATATTCTTAGATGGTAACACACAAATCTCCAAGTAATAAACTTGCTGGCTGCAAGCGTAAGTCACTAACAAATAAACTATGCAGCAGAGAGGAAAAAAAAAACCACCAACAAAACTCGAACTTGCTAATAATAGGAAAGCAATTGCATTTCCCCCCCTGCCATACTGTTGTATTTAAACCAAACCTTCCCCACAGCTCGTCTCCCTCACCGCCTCCACTCCAACGTTTGGGAGGGGGAGCGAGGAGAAAACATTTATGAAGGAATTGCTGAAACACCTGAACAACCTCCCGCCGTGCTGCAAGG